AGACTGGTATAATGTAAAGGCGGAATTTATGCTTCACACCTTCATGGTCTCACAGGTCTAACCATGCTTCTCCACAAGTGATTTCCCTGGGTGTTTCCGTACCAATGGTGTACACCTTGAAGCTCTTTTGGCCATTACATACAAGTCCAAGTCCTTTGGCAAGCCCTTGGCTAATAAAGGATTGATCAGCGCCTGTGTCCAGTAAGACTTCAACGTCTTTCCAGGCATTCCGATTCGAGTCCCTCACTCGCGCGACTCCTGTGAGTAAAAGGACCCTATTTCCCGCCTTCCGGTTTTCTTGACTTGCATTTCTAGGAGCGTTTTCTTTTTTCATAGTAGAAAGGACAGTTTTTGAACTGTTCTCTTCTTCGCAAACCGTAGCTGTTTCACAAGCACCGCAAGCTGTTTCAAGCAAATGCGCTTGTGTTGATTTCAATTTCTTTTGTGGCGCTTTGTTCGGAGTTTTTGATGTGTTCTGGTATGTAGTAGGTGTTTCTGATTGCACCAATTCGGGGTCTGCTTTTTCCTTCACTGGTTGGTTTCGCCCGTTTGAAATACGTTGTGGGCAGAGCGTATGGTGATGCTTTTTCCCGTTGCATAGTCTGCACCCTTCTTTCGGGCAGTCTTTGACAAAGTGTTTTTGATTAGCATTGAGGCATTTGTTGAGCTCACGAAAAATTGCGCGTCTCTCTTCCGACGTGGTGTATTTTTGGTAGGACATTGACTTGTGGTTATCACCGCAGAAAATGCACTGTCCACTGTTCATGAACTTCGGCTTGGGTCATATTGTCTGATCTTTTCCGTGTGTAGCATCTTCATGTTTGCTGTAAACCATATCACTTATTTTTTTCTTCCATTGATATGATTTCGTCGACATTGGCTAAGGTGTCTTGCATAGACCAAGCGCTTTCACCTAGGCATGGATTCTTTCTCAGACGGAGAACTTTCCTCTGGAGATCTACCGAGAACTTTGAAAGTATTTTTTGTACGAGAAACGATCCATCTAGAGGTACACCCTTCTCCATCAGCTGTGTCACTATTGGGATGAGAAATTCTAGGAGGCGCCGCTGTGCTGGGATCGTTAGTTTTTCTGCTTTCGCGTTGTCCAAGCGAGACTGTAGACAGGCGATGGACTTAGTGTCATCGCCGTATTTAGCGCATAAAAGGCGAACAGCATGGTCGTAGTTGTCTTCTGTAACTGGATAGCGGCGCACTGTTTCGCGAGCTTCTCCGCGTAGCGCATTTAATAAGTAGTTGAACTTCTGTAGCTTCGTCAATGGTTGGTTGTGGACGTTTGCTACGAACAATACCCAAAAGTTTCGGAATTTCCAAATTTTCTCACTGAACGGAGGTATGGGTATAGGTGGAAATGCGCTTTGAGCGACTGTGACTTCCTTCATTGTTGGATATTGCGCATGGAAGCTAAAAGGCGTTTGCGCGTGTTCACGGACGCTCACGCGGTTGCATTCTATTTCAATGGCAGTTGTTTGCGCGAGTTCCATGGCATGGTGCGCTTTTGCCACATAGTCATCTATTTGTTTTTGCTGTTCCTCCGAGATCGGATCAGTCAGCGCATCGCCCAATGCCGTGAAGGAGTCTAGCGCTTCATGAAGCATTTTTGCCCCAGAATGTAATTGAAGTGCGACAGTCTGCCTTTTTTTCGATGCTATGTTGTCATAGAAAAGGTTAGATTCTGCTTTCACGATGTTTTCGTTTTCTTTTCAAAATGCGCTCTATGTTATTACAGTAGCGCGTAAGAAGAGCTTTCTGAGACCTCAACGATGTAGAGCCAATCATTTCTATGAGTTGTTATAGGACCAGAATGAACTTCAGAAACGATCAAAAACTAAAGTTTTGATGCGCCGTTGAAGAATCCGAAAAAACTGTTCTTCTTGAGCGCCGTCGATTCTTGATAGTTCCCTGCGCCGGCGCACTCGAGAGTAAGGGTAGAATGACTTAAAACAGGTGAGAGCCGATGCACCATAAACTGGATAGTAGCACCGCACAGAGAACCGTTGATAGCACCGTTTATTGCTCGCTAAGCGCCTTGCACCACAGTTCAAAAACTGAACCTTACTCCACTTCGGGGAAGGCTCTTCAGGTAGGATAAGATGTACTATCATTCGTGAGACCATTGATACTCTACTTTATCGCGACTTCATTCTTATCCTTCGCATGAGCAACACGTTTTTCCATTTGCCGCCATAGTTTTATTCATTTTGATACTCCATCAAAACTAAACATTTTACTAAACAAACAAGCGAACAGTAATGCAAAGGATAAGAGTTAAACATAGTCGCGGTTATTCCGCGATAAGCGGTATTTGCGTCGAATAATATTTGATTGCTAATTGATGTTGAGACAAGAAATGCCCCTTTGTCATTATCGCATTTCCTCACACAGCCTCTACACACATTCGCAGTAATTTCAAGCAGAGAGCGGGTTAAAAGGAGTATGCTGACCAATGGAGCGCAAGTTAATGAAATAAATCATGATATCGGTAGTAGCTGTCGCTTCTTATCTAGTGTAGTCCCTAGAATGCCACGCATGACTGGCATTTGTTGTATCGGCGCGCTTCGTGTCTTATTTTAGTTGATTTTATACACTTTATTTAAAATAGTGATGTTGTTAGGAAAATTCGCAACTGGATGAATTGCAATGAAATGGCAAAGGAAGGCAGTTTATTTACGGGAAGATCTTTTTTGAACCTTCAATCTGGGAATACGAAGTACTGAAATTGTTTCTCAATAGTTCAGTTCTCTACCGAAAGCAATTTTATTCGAATGTTCTTATGTTTTTGGAGTCGAGGTGGTAGCATAAGACGAATGATCATTCTGCAAAAAAATATCATGGAAGAAACAAAACTGTCACATTGCCACAAATATTGGCACAACAAACTTGACAAAAAGAGCAACCGAACTAGAATGCAAGAATAGCTATTCAACTCACACAAAACAACTTCAACAACCAAACGGAACACTCAAGGACCGTTAATTCAGCATTAAACTCTTTAGCCGTTGAACAACGACTGCGCTTAATAAGTGAACCTAAGATTCCCGAATTCAACTGGAAATCTTCAACACACGCACACCAAACAATATCCTGCAACAGGACCCCGATCGCCTTACTGTGGCGGTCAATCACAACCCTATCATAGCCTAGCTAAATCACCGATAACAAGAACAACCCAACGATCTAAACCTTGCGCAAGCGCTTTCTGCTTTTCTACCTAAAGCTCTCTCTATCGCTGTCAGCGAGAACAAAAAATGGTTTAGCGATGTTAGCGCAAGAGACAGGCAAAAGGAGTTGACTCATTAACACGTGCACATTTACTTAAATAGCAAAAGAAGGATGTTACAGAAGCGCCAGCTGTTGACGGCGCATAAAAGGGGGACTGTCGTTAACAAGTCGCTTTTCTTAGCTTTCTGCTTTCTTCCTTTGCTTCGGTTCTCTACATATCTTAATTCTTCGTTCATTGCATTTATTTTGTAGTCCAGTCATTGAGTTGTGCTTGAATTGAAGATTGTTGATAGCAATAAAAGTAGCTTGGGAAGGAGTCCCGTTCAATACGCGTGGCAGGAGAGGAGAAGCAAATTTATGGTGCATCAAGGGCGAATTCGGCCAACAGGTACGCTTTGAATTCATAAACTTCCGAAGTCATTTTGACAACTAGGAAGTGCGGTTTTCAAATTTCGAATTTGATATTTTTCCTTTTTCTTTTTCTGGTGTCTTTGAACCTTGTCAGTGCGAAGTGCGAATGAGTGGACCCATTACTCTGAGATCGCAAAAAGCACTTCTTACTCGCTACAAAAATAATCTTAAAACCACAGTGGAACATTGTAGGTCAGCGCTATCTACTGATTTCTCGATCAGGTCACTGGCAACTGCAGCAACTGCGCTGAGGGAGACCATATCCCTTTGCGAAAAAGCTTTAGAAAATTTTACGAAAGCAGTGGACGGGCTAGAGGAACCCATTTCAGAAGACCAGGACAAACAAATAGACGAATACATCGACGAGGCCCAGTCTGTCATAGTCGATGCAGAGAACTTATTGATAAGAATTGAATCAGAGCGCGTGGGGCTTCAACAACCTGTAAGTAATAACGAAGATAGAGCTCACCAGGGAGCTAAAAGAACGGTGGCCGAGCTACCGGAAATCCCGATACCCACATTTGACGGCAAAATAACCGAATTCGAAAACTTCTGGGCCCTATTTGATGCCAATGTTCACAGCCAAGACCTTACAGGGCTACAAAAATTTAACTATTTGTTGAAAGCGCTCAGAGGTAGCGCAAGGGACGCAATAAAGCGTTATCCCATTACAGAAGAGAATTATGGAGCTGCACTTGCATTGCTACGATCAAAGTTTGGTGATAAAGATAAATTGGTACGTAGCTTGCAAACACGGTTGGAGACCGCTTATGCACGCAGCAGCCAGATACCAGAGCAACGCAGACTGCTTGAGTATCTTTTTTCCATTGTTACTCAATTAGAACAACACGGCATCATTCTGAAGGGGTCGTATGTGGGGCAAAAAATCCTTGCAAAGTTCCAACCCGATCTTCAAAGACGGTTCCTAAAACAGAGAATAACGCAGGGAAGTAGCGAAGATCATTGGTCGCTTAAAAGCCTACTGAGTGACTTAGATGACCTCATAAAAACTGAGGAGCAGGTAGCCGATATGCTGCAAAATAGCCAGACATCCTCGACTGGAACACACGGTGGGGCATCCCCCAGACCGTTTGCCACCGTCAAGTCGAAACAGGACATAAGACAAAACCAGTGCGTTTACTGTAATGAGGTGGAACATAATTCGTTACGCTGCCCTAACGTGACTTCTGCGAGAGAGCGTAAAGAGTTCCTCAAAAAACACAAGCTCTGCATTAATTGCGGTAAGCCAAATCATTTTGTGCGCGAGTGCCAACGAATGGGTTGCGCAAAATGCAACGGGGACAAACATCACTTTTCCCTTTGTCCGCGCAGATTGTCAGCAAAAGCCCCTACAGGCGAACCTGCACAATTTCATCCAAATAAGGGTCCCTATTCAACACAGCAGCCAAAAATCAGGGCAACAAAAAAGCCGTCACCGCTAACCAATACAAGCGCACAATGCGCACAATGTGAGACATCTGCAAACGAATTACTTACCATGGAGACATCGGATAATGGGGGAAAGAGTCAGGCCCTCGACAAACCCGATGTCTTCCTTCTCACCGGAGTGGCGTGTGTAAGGAATTCTAAAAACGGTGACCTGCGAGAAGTTCAAGTTCTTTTGGATACTGGCGCTGACAGGTCCTTTATACAAAAGAGTCTAGCCGACCAACTAGAGCTCCCCACAATCGATACCATTGACATGTCCTTATACACATTCGGGGAAAAGGCTCCAAAATCAACTACTTATGACGTAACCGCTTTCGAATTTGAAATTTGCGTAGAAACTCAGTGTCAAACTTATACAAATCCAGCAAAAGTGGGAATTGGTTAAAATTCCCTCCAGAAGTTACGCTCTATGAGCACACAGCTTTTCATCAATGAAAACTAATGAATCAATACTACGATGGAATAACCTGCGGCAGTCTGCCATTCTGTGAGACATACAATGTTGGTTATGTTCAGCAGCTATTTTGAACCCGGAATGCTGGCCAACAGGGCCCTCGTAGGCATTGCATTCTAATATACCTATTGGTTGCTGCATATACTTACTATTATACGTGCCCGTAACAATGGAAAGCCTTTACGTTTGATCTTTCAAGTTTCTAATTTTTTTTGGGATGCGCCTTAAAAATGGCTGCGCCATTGTGTAGGTTTTTTTGCTAGATCGCTAAGGAGAAGGCTCACAGAACGCCAGCGCCGCCTAGCTTTCGTTTTATCATCCTTGCTATTTTGATTCTAGCACTCAATGTTGCCAAGACGTAAATGTCTTCAGCGAATCAGGCATAAAATGCTCACAATCAGAAGATGGCGAACAGTTGCAGGTACAGGTCTAGAAATCATAAAACTTAATGCGTTCCAGCAAGAAGTGTGTCTGCGGTTATACCTCAATGACACCTCGTCGCATTCGCGAAATTGCATTGGAAACGTCTGCTTATGCGCTGTGATCATGAAACATTAGTTTTTACGAGGGATGTTAACATCTCCGTGCTCGATAGCAAACGTTGCGGCTTCGCATGGGATCGTGCAAGGGCTCCAAAATGCGCGGATATAAAGCCACCGATCTTATTAAGGGTTGGAACCCGCTAACTCCTTCCCGGGTAGAACGGCATGTCTGGAATCTTGCGGAGGGTTAGGATGTGATTGTTTCTACCCAGCTCGCCATGCTTATTCTACAGGATTACGCAACGCCTAACAGCATGACATCTTCGAAATATCTCCGGTGCACGCCATGGAAGGAAGAATTGAACTGGAACATAACAATCCAAAGCGAGCCCAAAATTCGCATCAAATGATTTCAGTAACTGCGAAACGTTCCAGAATAATAGGGGATTTCACAATAACTATGACTCTGATAACCTCATCCTCCCATTACCACTGCTTTAATGAATATATTTCATTACGGATGTGAAAAGAAGTAGCGATTGGAGAAACAAAAGATATCCAGTTCTCCAATGCAATTCAT